CTCTCTCTCTCTCTCTCTCTCTTTCTTTCTTTCTTTCTTTCTTTCTTTCTTTCTTTCTTTTCTCTCTTTTTTTCTTCCAAGTGAGATTTTGAGTGATTTATTTTACTCTTAAATGTGCTTTTACATTTTGTTCAACAATTATGTCAATCATGGCTAGAAACTTTCTCTTTTTAGGTTATAAAAATTACTATTAAAATAAAACAACACAAAACCAAACCAAACCAAATAAAACAAAAATTATGGTGACAGTAAGAACAAAAATATTAAAAACTAGATATTTTTAATAGCTGGCTAGATTTTCTTATATTCACCCAGAATGTATACTTCTTTTTAGAAGGCTCTTTGAGGAAGAGCAATATGTGTATTGTACTTAAATGAGCAAGCTTGGGAGCCAGACTGCCTTTGGATCCTCTTTCTAGTTCTCAGAGCCTTGGCTTCCTCAACCGTGCCTCATGGGGCACTTGGCAAGCACTCACTCATAGCCGTTATTGCTGCTCTTTCATTATTTTGCAGAAATGCTTAATATAACCACACATTAAGCTCTCAACAGCCATCATGACACAAAAGTCACATGGAGATACATTAGTTTATACAAGATTTCCAGGCCTAGTTACCTTTAGGAGTTGGAGGATTACAGAAAAATATATGGGATTTCCATAAATCAAAGAATATAAAAATTTATTTGTTCTTTCTTTTACATGCCTGGGGATACATTCATCAAGAACATTCATTTATAAGCAAGTTTCACCATTTAGAACTTAAGAAGACTCCTTAGAATCACAGCAAAAAAGGAAAGAAAACACCAGTCTTTGGTCCAACGTGCACATAGGGACAATTTGCATGGACCAAATCAACCCCTCCAAGTTAACTTTTCCCTAGACAAGCTCCAGTGAGGAAGATCCTAGGACCTTTGGAGAATTTAGTAAATTTAAGGTATTTTCCAATATATAATTATAACTTTACTTTTGCTGTTTACAATCTGTGGAAATTTTTCTTCTACTCTGAAGGAATCAAGTAAAAATATTCTTCCAGAACAAGAGCATTTTTATACTGAGAAGAGACTATCTTTTCTTGAGAAAGAAATAACATTTGACAGCAAGTAGTATCATGTCATAGCTAACTCTGTGCTATCTCTATAACTGTCATGGAAAATTGAAGGGGTATGTGTGTGTGATTTATACACAAACACTGTTTTAAAAACACTTTGATATCAATGGAGTTTCCGTAGTGGTCTCTGATTCTGATCATCATTAAAAACCTTATTCAAGTCTTGTCACTTCTATGGTTTCATCAATACCTCTCCACTTACCCACCAGAATCAGAATTTATGCATGTTCTTTATTGAAATTTAAGGATATATATCCCTGCTTTGGTGCATTTGGCTATTTCAATCCGTTTTATATCTTCCCCAGCCTGCTGATTATTTAGGTCATCAGAGAAAGAGGAATAACGTACCAGGTCTGATGTGTGGTTTGTCAGGTGTTCTGGGCCTCACAGGAGTAGTGTATAATCTGTATGGTGCTGAAACAGAGGAAACACTTCATATTTAACAACTAATACTCCAAAGCTCACTGAATGGAGATTTAGTGCCCCGGGGACCAACAACTCATACGCTGGGCATGGAAGTAGACAGAATATTCTGAAATCTTCAGTTATGCATTACAGACTTCAGGCTAAAGGAAAATAAAGCCAGTGAAAATATTTATGACTGAAAATTAAAGATATACAAAGTCAGAGTGAGATAGGTCATTTGTAATGTGTGTTAAACTGGGCATGGAAGTAGACAGAATATTCTGAAATCTTCAGTTATGCATTACAGACTTCAGGCTAAAGGAAAATAAAGCCAGTGAAAATATTCATGACTGAAAATTAAAGATATACAAAGTCAGAGTGAGATAGGTCATTTGTAATGTGTGTTAAGGATTAGTCATCATTTAGTTCATGTTTTTCAAGAGCATTCATTTCACCAGATGGTTGCTTAACATGATAAACATATAAGCAAGCCATCTACCTGTCTGTCCATCCATTCTTCTATCCATTCGTCTATACATCTATCCATATCTCTCAATAAGGAGTCACTGTGGAACATTACTTTGCCAAAGAAGATAAGCAACCCTAAAGGTAAAAGGATTAAGTAATTTTTTAGGGAGGTAAGTAGAAAAGAGTAGGAACATGTGGTCTCTATCAAATTGTCTTTGCTCATGAACCCTGAAACGGGTAAACATTCACTCAGTGTCACCCACGATGCTGTAGGAATGAGAGAAATCCATGTCTGATGCCCTTTCCATCAAGAGAGGGTGAGCAAGGAGCAAGAACTCTGACAAGCCCTGGGACCAAAATGCCACCTTGTTACTTTCTGATCCTGTTATCCAGGGCCTTCCTGTCAGGAAAGACTCCTAATGAAGACTTGCTGAATGAATAAATGTGTGACCACTGTAAGCAGGAAAATTTGCCAGAAACTGCTGAAATATTATTATTTCCTAAGGTTTTAAAGTGTGCATGCATCCTGGGATTCATCCATCTCACCGCTGCTCTTCTCTGCCTGCCTTGATACCACCCACTGCCTCCTGCCACCAACTTTCTTGGTAATGCTTTAGCTAAGACTGGAAAAAATTCTTCTTGCACACTATGTAAGTAAATTACATTGCTTTGATGATTTTTGTTCACATCTTGAGTGGGTATTTATATAACCATACATCAGCAATGCCTTGCCTAACAACTTAAAAAAATAATGCCTGTGAAATAGGTTATAATGTAGCTCATTTATAAACTTCCAATGTAAAGACTTTGATGGGCAGAATTTTGCCATACTGCAGGCCAACAACAGCAGACTCACACTGCAATTCTCTAAAGGATTAGCCTCCCCAAGTGTAATAACCAGAGTGAACAGAGGAACTGACGTTATAAAAAATTAAATCTCACACACTCTAAAATGCCTGATGACGATTTGCAAATGTTTTTCTTCAATTTTCTTTGAGAGTGGTAGGATTCCCTGTCAATTTAACCTATTTCAACTTTCCATGTAAATCCCTTTGAATGCTAGATTACTTCTGCTTAAAGAAAATTCAAGGGTCATGGGTCTTATTTGCCTCGTAGAATATATATGAATGTTAGAACTTTGGACAGGAAATAGACTGAGAGCAAAGCCCAGAAATAATCAGCACTACATTCATTATTTCAAAGCCACGGGATCAGAGTTTTAGTTTTAGTTTTTCCACAGTCTTCACTTAAATCTAGAAAGACTTCTTATGAAACAGTTGAAATATAATTTAAGTTTAGGCTGTGTGTTACTCACATAGCCCATCACTAAGCAACAGATGGCCTTGACAAAACTGCTCTAAGGTTTCAATTTTAAACAAACAAACAAAAAAAGACAAAGGAAATTTGAAACAATGTAACTATGTAAACATTATCTCTACATAGTTTTTGGTGACCAATAACAAAGATAAATAATTTTAAAAGATGGCTTCATATCTAAATCATTTTATAAAAACTTATTTTCAAAAAGCATTAAAAATACTGCATGAAGACAACATAAAAAATAACCATACAGGGATGACAGGAGAAACACCTTGAAGGGCCAGTGTTCTGCTAGTTACAGGGAGAGGGGAGGAGGAGACAACTGGGTGCGGGGAAGGATCCCTGGGTGGGGGCGGGATCAAGAGGCTGAAAGAAGTAAGACAATCAGAATGTGCCCCCTATGCCTCTGGCTAGGTGGATCTCCATGGTGGATTGAGATTGGAAGGGCAAAGGGAAGGAGCTTGAGTGACAGCACCCTGCAGGGCAATTGTCTCAGTAGACACAGTAGCCACAAAGAAAAGGTGTTGGCTCTTCTACTAGTGGGCTCATGCTGTAGGTTGTAGGCACGCAGTTTCCTTGGAGTGCTTGGGCCCCATTGCTGAGAGCTTAGAGATCACAGAGACCCATGGGTCATGGCACACCACAAGAGAAATGTTAAGATGAAGAGGAATGATTTCACCTCTACTGCATGTCTCTCGATTGTTGTGTGCTGTCTTGTGTTCCTAACGCCTGATGTTAAAAACAAAACAAAACAGCTGACTGACCTCCTCTGTCTCAGAGCTCAGGCATACACATTGACGAGGGTGAGCCTGGCACCACACAGCATGCCCTGATCAGAGTTGACTCTCTACTCCCAATCAGGAAAATTGGGATGGAACAGGTTGTGAATGCTACTCTCATCTCTGAAGAAGGAATCTTTTTTAGGATGTTCTTTGTCATCTCATACAAATGGATTACTGGTGAGCCCACTCTAAAGATCGTTGGCACAAATTTTGAAAAGCATGAATCCTAGTGCAGCACCATTTAAGTTCAGGCTGAGGGTCCTAAGCATATAAGAAAAAAAAA